CATTGGGTCTTCTGTTTAACTGGCAATGTCAGAAATTATTGACCTGAGTCCCCCACAGCTCAACATAACAGCATGGCTTTACTTCCTATATTTTGTCTTCATACTTTTCTACTGGAAGCTGCACTTTTCTAACCTCCACTTAAGGTGATACACAGCTGCAGGTGCTCTTCAAAGCTCTAGTGAGGTCACATTCTTAGTCCCAGTAAAAGAAAGTGATGGATGCAAAAGCCTTAATAAATGAGAAAATGCTCCGTGAGACAGGTATTTCAGATCATGGCGGCTCAGCTCTGCAGTTTCCTGGGAGGGACACACAGAAGAAAAGTGCACAATATGTAGAAATCCATTTCCCAGGATGGTGGAAAAGTCCCTTAGAGTAAGAGAGAGCAAGCTGTAGTGCACAAGACTGCCAGCTGTGTCCATGTTACATTTGCTGATCTCTTCTTGGGCAGAGCCAGTTGGATAGCCAAGCATTGAGTCAGGAAGAAAGGCCTCACTCTTCATGGGGGTATGACCAAGAAACTGAATCATTTAAAAAAAATGTTTGGTATAATGCACTCTACTACTGTGGGCTGAGTGTGTTCCCACGCTGTAATTCATACATTGTAACCCTAATCCCCAAAGTGATGGAATTTGGAGATAGGGCCTCTGGGTAGTAATTAGATTTAGATGAGGTCATGAGAGTGGGGCCCCATGATGGGACTAGTGTCATACTTGTACTCTGTGTGCTGAGCAAGGGTACAGCAAAAAGGTGACCCTCTTCGTACTCTGAAGAGGCTTCTGTTTTTCTTTTTTTTTTTGTACTGGGAATCGAACTCAGGTCCTTGTGCTTGCCAGGCAGGTTCTGTGCTGCTGAGTTACATCCCCGGCCCGTGAAGAGTGTGCTTACTAGCACGCAACCATGCCAACACCCTATTTTTGGACTTCCATCCCCAGCACTATAAAAGAAATCAGTGTCTGTTGTTTGAGCTGCCCGGTCTTTGGCATTTTGTTGCAGTGGCCTCTGTTGATCAGCTTTTCATCACTGCAGTTGCACTTGATCTCCGCCAAAAGGCCGAGAAGTGATCAGCACTACAACAAGATGCCTGATAAAAATGGGTTGATTGACGGATGTTAGCTTGCCGTGATGGGTTGGCCCCTTTGCTTTGGACTGTGGTGATGCAGCTTGTCGTGGTAGGAGTGCATCATGTGGCAGAGTAGAACTGCTCAGATCACAAGCCAGGGAATCCAGTGAAAAAGAAGAGCGGGCTGGAGCTCCACATCCCCTTTAAGGTCATGCTCCCAACGAGCTAGAGATCTCTTCCTGGGATCTGCTTCCTAAAGGTTCTACCACCTCCCCAAAAAGCCCCTGCTGGCAACCAAGACCCCAGCATGTGAACCTTCAGGGGATGCTTAGCAAATTGCAGCACAACCTGAGCAAGAAGTCTACTCACCTATGAGCTTGTCTGTGAACAAATACAGTGAGTAGGGTGGAGCCGAAGAGGCACAAACAGGTAGGTTAAGAAAGCAGGAGGGAAATTTAATCTGCTCCCCATGGGGTGGGTGAACCCTGCCAGATAGAGCAGAGGTGGGCAGGTTTCCAGGCAGCGGGCACAGTGTGTGCAGAGGCCAGGGAGTGTGGGACATCTGATTATCACTGTTCTTAATCTTGACAAAAACATGAAACCTCATAGCCTTCTTAAAGAAATTATTTTCCACTGCTTTAGGGTATTGTGTCTAAGATACGGGTTATGTTTCTATTTGGTGCCTGTGGCGTTGCTGGCAGAATTGGAAATGGAAAGCCCAAAGAGAATTTAATTTTAAAAGCTGCTTAAGATGAGAGTGAAAATGGAACCAATTTTCTCCCTGGGTTAGATACAGTTGTTATAAAATGTCTTCTCTCTTTATTGCTCCAAAACAACCCCAGAATAAAAAGTTTGCTTCCAAAATCAGAAGCAAACTCCCTTCTCTAGAGGGGGTGGCTTAATGGGGACTTACTGTGAGACTTCTGAGTCTGACTGAAGAAGAAAATCACCCTGTTAGGCCTGGAGAATGTACAATTGCTTCTCTACAACATTTAAGGTCCCAGGACTGCTCCTCCTGTGAGCAGGAATTAATGCACATGGAAATATCGGCTCTTTTGTAGAGACTTTCCATTATTTTTAGGACCACAAAGAAATTGTGAAAACCATTCACTTCTTAGGGCAGGCCAGATAGCTCAGCGGGCCAAAGTGCCTGCTTAGGCAGGCTCAGAGACTGGGGTTCAAATCCCGAATGCTGTACTGGCCTCACCCCTGGGGCATGCTGAGACGGTGGCTGAGATGTTGACTGAGACTGGGCATGGTGGCATGTGCCTGTTATCCCAGAGCTTGGGAGACTGAAAACAGGAGGATCACTACGAGTCCAGTGTGTAATGAGACCCTGTAAACCCTGTACTAAATATATTTTTAAAAAAAATTCACTTCTCTCTTTGGCCTCAGATGTGTGAAATATATGTATATCCACTTCTAGTGAATGACATTTTAGATACAAAACCCAACATTCATCCTTGTGCATCCAACTTTTGTCATTGCCACTTTGCTTTTCCACAGCGTGGTGTATGTGGCAATCAAAAAAGAAAATCAAAACGAAGGAACCCAAAATTTTACTGCAGATGTACTTCTTAATTGAAAAGCATCAAAGTTAACTTTCTTTTCAGAATATGACAGTGCTTTTTGAAGAATTTCAGTGAGGACCTAAGGGTAAGGAAAACGGGCATGAAAAGTGCTTTTTCCAAAGCATGGAGAATGTAATATTTTTCTCATCAGATTTGTTCTTTGCTCTCATGGGGCTTCCAGGATAGGTGAAGCATTTGTGTAAAGGTTGGGGGTCTAGGGAGAGTCACGCACAGCACATCCGGGCCACTTCTCCAGGTCTCTGCAACTGTATTCACTTAATGAGGAAAATATCTCCATCAGTCTGCGGCACCTTTGGGTAGGCTAGTTGGCCAGGAGACGCCATCTTGTTTCTAGTTCTCTCATCTCCATGTAGAAATAGGTGTTCAGGAGAGGAAGCAGGAGAAGTAGGAGAAGTTGCTCCATGCCTCAGACTGAGTCTCTTGTAAAAGGATTGCCAGACACCATGAGCTACTGTCAGGGATCAGGCACACAGAAGACACAGAAGAGCTTTTCATTCACAGCTCTTCAATATGAAGACTGGCCTGGCAGTGGAAGGAGAAGACAAATGCTCCTTTTGCTCAGCGCTTTGACTTAGAAGTTTCTGTTAGCTTCTGATATTTTTAGATTATAAAATCCAATACTTTTTTTCTTTTGGGTCCAGCATGTGCGCTGCAAATAGAAGAGGGGAAGAGGAAAAGAAAAGGGACAAATGTCTTAAAGGCCACAAGAACTTTTTTTTTTTTTTTTTGTCATGTACACACCATTCAGTGGAACAAGTCTGAAGATGGAGATTTTCTAAAAGAATTGGTCTGTTCCTATTCGACTTTCAAGACTTTAAGTTGAAGGCTGTAAAGATAGCTTGGTGGTCTAAGCCCCTGCCTGGAAAGTGCAAGGACCTGGGTTTGATCCCCAGTACTGCATGCCGGGTCAGCCCCAGAACCCAGGAAGCACTGTGCCAGCCATCGAAACCAGGTGTGGTGGTGCATGCCTATAATCCTAGCGCTAGGGAGACTGAGACAAAGAGGATCACTACAAGTCCAAGCTGTGAAGCGAGACCCTGTACCAAACAAATGAGTTAATTAATTAATTAAAAAATGACTTTTAAGTTGCAAGCTGTATTATTGAAAGTTGACACTGAAGGATGGAAGGATATTGCTTTCAGGTGTAGAGTTATTTTTATTTTTCTAAGCCAGTTTCTTAAAGAATCATGCAGAAGCAAGGTGTGACGTCAAGGTTGTCTCAGCTGCACTTAAGCACAAACTAGGGATTTCTGAGGCTGCCACCTGTGTGCTCCATGAGGATGGTGGATCTGACCTTCCACTTGCCATTGGAATGCTGTCCCTTGCTTTGTCTGTTGAAACTTAGTAGTTTCTGGTGACTTCTAAGGAGCAGTGTCTCTGTGTCTTTCCTCCAGAGAATATTTTTGTGCATCAAAGTAAAGGTCAGGATCACCATTTGGCTTTTGACTTGGTTCCAAGATTCCACACTTACACTTCTTGAGTCCCTTCTTTCAACTGCCTGGCTTCTTTCTTTTGACACCAGCATGTTCCACAGTGGGCGAGGTCCTTTAAGTTTGCCTCCACTCAGCAAGAACTCACCCTGATTACTTGCTACTTGAAAAAAAAATGGTAATAGTAATTGCCTGTTGCTCTCCTCCTTCCCCGTCTGTAATCATGCTCTTTCTTTAAAACCATCTTTAATTCTTAGGGGTCTCATGTCTGCCACAGGAAAAGCGAGAAGCTTTGGGTCAGTATTTCAAAAGACTTATCAGGAAATTCTGGACATGTGTTGAAAATCCTCCTAATTCTGTGGGATTACAGAGGTTTATAGACTGCATTCCACATTTTCCCCTTGGTGTGCTTGCATACTTGTGAAATGTCAAAGGGACTAGATCTGTCTTTGTCCAGATATTAAACATATATGAAAACTCTACAGGAGAGGCATTAAGATGCCTGGTCTGGTTTCCCTTTTAAATTCCCTTACACTTATCTGGCTAGCAGTGTAGCTTTTCATTATTGTTTTGCAATAGAGCACAAGTGTAATTGTGACTTATTCCTGTTATGTTTTTAAGTGAAACATTACATCATGATACTTAATTTATGACAGCACAGCTTTCAGCTCTTCCTCTGGCTTCATTCACCTGACTGTCATGACCTGAGAGACAGGTAGCTTTATTATCCTTATGTTACAGATAAAAGGCCCTGGGGTGAGAGGTAGGTCCTATCTAAGGATTTATGTCTGTTTTTGATGAAAGTCCAATTATAGGTTTCCTCCAAGAAATCTGTAATTCTGGAGTCAATTTGATAAAGCAACTAAGAGTTTCTATGGGAAACATCTGCTAGATCATGGTTGGACAGCAGAGTTCACTGGTGCCATCTTTAAGGCAAGCATCTGTCACCTTTATCAGTGATCCAGATAGACAGTGACCAAAGACCTATGGAGCATGCAGTGACTTGAGTTTTTGGTCATATTTTGAAGTGGATAAATGATAAGACAGCAAACAGTTTGATGTCTCCAGGTCTCCTTAAAAAAGAAACAGTCTTTAAAAAGTTGATCCTCTTGTTCCATCTATTCACTAAATCCCTGGAGATGGGGGTTCCTTACCATTATTGTGATATCCTACTTCCAGGTACTTTGTGCACTGTTTGATGTTCCCCTCCAGTGACATGAAGCCATGTGTCCCCAAAGATAAAAGGGAATATAAAAAACACTATAGAGCGGTATCCTTCAAATTGAGTGTTACATGCTCTCCTATTAAAGGAAGAACATTGTTGATAACCTCACATGTTGGCTTACGTTATTTTTATTTAAATGTTACTTTATAAGTGCATGAACCCAGAATTAAACTGTTTAAAAACTGAAAACCCAAACCAACTTGAAAATTAAGTCTGAATGAGACTAAGAGAGCCCCCGAGTCTTCCAGTGAAGCAACATTAACACGATGCAGTGGCTGATGTTTACTGCGACCTGAGTCGTTGTGCACAGTCGGGTACAGCTCTCCCGTCAGCCACTGGTCCCTCCACCATGTTTCTCTGGACACACAACAAGAATTACCACTCCAAAAGGCTCTGCACGTGCCTTGCCTACTCTTGCATCCTTTTCCTTTGTTGCTCTTGCTTTCTCTTTTTCCTTTCTCCTTTCCATTCCTTTCTCATTTCTCCTTTTTGCCCTTCTTCCCTTCTTCCCTGCCTTTCCTCCCTCTCCTCTCCCTTCCTTCTCTCCTTTCTCAGTCCTGGGGATTGAAGCCAGGGCCTTCACACCAAGCTGTATCCCAGCCCTTGCTTCTTTTTTAAAAAAAATTTGGGTCAGTCTCTTGCTAAGTGGCTGAGTTGCCCAGGCTCTTCTTGAACTTGGGATGCTCCTGCCTCAGCTTCCCAGCATGCTGGGACTACGTGCATGCGCCTGTGTGCCCAACATGTCTCTGTGTCTTGGTTTATCATATAGTTTATCTCCTCATTCTCATTTCCTTTATCTCCCTCAATTGAACTCCTGCTGTGGTCAGAAGCAGAGCAGCTTAGCATTTTCTTATCCCTTCTGCACACTTCACCACTTGAAAGGATTGTGCGTACTCATGTGTGTTTTTGTCAGTGGTGTGTTTTTCTGCAAGCCTAAATCCAAGATGGTGACATCCTTCTCTGTTCACCAATACCCAGCAGTAATAACTCGGTGTGGGCCGGAGAAGCACCCTGCAGGAATGTGTGGAATGAACATTTGTGTATCTGTCCCCCTAATGCCATCATGAATTCAGTGCAGGAACCCGTCTTAGCATCTGTTTGAAATTTGAGAATGATTTTTTAGCCGGAGCCTGTGGGCTCCAGTACCTGTCATTATCTGGAGCATAGTAATTGAGAGGCGCCTTGGTGGGATTAGGCCTCCAGGTTCTTAATTTCAATCACTCTTATTGGATTTGTTTTGACTGGAAATCCCACTGCCCATTTGAAAAATATTTTTCCGTGGGTGCTTTTGAGCAATGGAGACTCCTTGCTTGGCAGGCTTTTCATCCCTGTCAGGAAATCTCATCAAAATGATACTAGGTTTGCACATCTGGAAAATAAAATCCTCCAAGAAGATGTTGCTATTCTCTAGATTGCTAGATTGACTTTGGATCTAAGCATCCAAACCCACTCAGAAGGTATTCAACCACAGCTGAGCTATTGGGCAGAGGCCAGGTGGCAGTCACATACACAACAAATAATAAGCAGTAAGGGTGGAAAGGAATTTCTCTAGTGACAAGCCAAAGCAAAATTCAACAAGATAGCAAAATACTGGGTTTTGCTGGGAGGCCTCATTTTCAAAGGCCCGAGTGGTAACTGGGTGGGTCATCTACCTGGTACTGGTTTTCCCAGGTGGGTCTCTGCCATGTGTCTTTGAGTCTGGCCTCTTCCTCACTCTGTCTTGTAAGTTATACTTGGAAGAAGTTATATGTGGTGGCAAGACTACTTTTACCTGAGGTTCCTAATATCTATCACCCAGGCATTTTTTAAAACATAATTTTGTATGAAATTCCTTGCTTTTGACTTCTTCCCATGGCATGTTGGGTATCCTTTATCTGAAACACTTAAGATCAGAGTTGTTTCAGATTCTGGATTGTTTTTTTTCAGATTTTGGAACCTTTGCAGATACCTAATGAGACATCTTAGGGATGGGACCCAAGTCTAATCACAAATCTCATCCATGTTTTGTAGATAGCTCACATAGATGGCATGGAGGTAATGTCATACAGTACCTTTTATGGGACTGGGCTTTGACTACGACCTGTCTCATAAGACCAGGTAGCACTCAGAAGATTTCAGAATTTGGAGTATTTTGGATTTTTGTCACAGGGATGCTCAACCTGTATGTGATTGTTAAAGCTGAGAGGAAGGCGGCTCTGGAAGCTCTACTCTTACTCACCTTAGGAAGCTGGGCTGGGGCTGCGCACTCAGTGCTCCATGTGAGCCTTTCAGTGTTGATGCTACAGAGTGTTGCTGAGGGTCTAGAGGGATGACAAGGAAGGAGACTGCTGGGGTTGCGCGACAGCAGTGACACAGAAGCTCCTGCTAACCCGTGCCTCTTGCTTCCCACCCTGGGCCTTATATGGCTCTCGTTTCTCTTCGCAGAGGTGTGAACATGTATGCCATGCTGACGGGGACCCTGCCTTTCACAGTGGAGCCTTTCAGCCTGAGGGCCTTGTACCAGAAGATGGTGGACAAAGACATGAACCCCCTCCCCACCCAGCTGTCCACAGGTAATGTGCCTGCGGCTCTGGGCCTTTGTCCAGGCTGGTGTGGGTCCATTTGTACAGCAGTATTCTGTCTGGCAGCAATGCTGTTATGGCAATACCGTGATTGTACATTTCCTCCCACGAGCAAGACTAGGTCCAAGAGGTGGTTGGTTCCTGTCCCTAGCTAGTCTCTCCCTCCCCTCCCCTCCCCTCCCCAAGTCCAAGGCCCTACTTCCTCCTTTCTCTTTCTGCACAAAACACATGCATAAAAAGGATCTTTTGTTCTCCACTTGAAAAATAATTGCAGGCTCGATTGTTTTAAAACTCGCCATATTATAGTCTTGGCTTGGAAAAGGTTTATAATCACGTTTCTATTATGTTTTATTTATTCAACTCACTGTAAAGAAATATCAATTTCCTTCAGGTTGGGTCTATAATTTGTGGGGTTATGTGAGTTTTTGAGCCTGTTCAAAAACTTTTCGGTGTGTGTAGGTTCAGTTACTCATCTGACTGAATTATCAGGTGTGTTTGAAAAGTACTCTCAGACTTTTTAGCAGACTTGCGTTTCAGGAAACAGTTTGAATTGAGGTTTGGTTTCAGATCCAGTAAGTTAATGCAATTAGTTCTTTTTGTTTGCTTCAAAACTCACATCAAATATGTGGGCTAGACTTGGTTTGGATGGCCATGTGATTGTCTTCCTGAAATACACTCAGTTTCACTGAAATGAGGAATTTGACCAAAAAATTAAAAAAAAAAAAAGAAAAAAAAAAAATTCGGTCCAGCCGAGATCCCAGCCCTTGGGAGGTTGAGGCAGGAATTTCAGGCCAGCCTACACTGCACAGAAAGATGCTTCCTCAAAAACAAAACAAAACAGAAGCAATTATTTAACTTCATAGCTTATGAAATGTAGTTAAAATACAGCACTTTATTTTACTGTTAAGTATTTTTCTTTTGTGTTCATAAAGTGTCCTCCAGCTGACTGAACTTGTGCTTGCCAGTGGAAGGCAAGCTGAAATGAGTTCCAGTACGTGATTATGTAATTCTGGCCACACTTTCACCTTTGTGAGGGTAGGTGGAATCCCTGGAGGATGAAAGCAAAGGAGGTTTTATGTCCTTGGGAGGATAAGTTAAAGTTCTGTCATCTAAAAGAAATATTTCTGCACTGAGAGCCATAACTTTTACAGTGGAGAAATGTGCAAAATGGTGAAGGAATTGTTATATTTAAGCTTTAGCACTTCCAGAAATGTAGAAAGTGTGCCAAAACACTATGAAGACTGTTCATGCATTCACTCATTCATTCATTCATTCATTCATTCATTCATTCATTCATATTTCATAGTCTTTTACCTATCCCATGCATATGAAGTGTGTGCCAACTATGTACTGGCTGTATTCCAGTTGGCAGGAAGATGGGGAACAACCTTTACTCTCGCTGAGCTTATATAGTGTTATCAGTGAGAAAGGGTATAGAAATGTGTGGTATGTGACATTGTACATGCTCTAACTGAAAAACTCAGTATATTGGGGTAGAGAGTGGAGGAGGTGGTTGATTTTTAAAAAATAAGATTCACACACAGTTGTCATAATAACAGGAGGCCAATCTCTTCCACCGGCAGGACAGGGTGTAATGGTGGTATATGGTCATCACTGTTGGTTGCCTCTTGACCTTATTCCGGTTTCACAAGTGTTGACACTTTCATGCGTACATTGCTATATGTTTAGTTCTGTGTGATTTCATTCCACTCGGCAGCGTATGGCACAGCCACTGCAGTTCAGATGTGGCATAGCTGATTGCAAGCGTCCTGTGCTACCTTTGTGGCCACAGCCATAGCCTGTCTTTCTACTCTGCCTAATCCCTGCCTACCACTATCCTGTTCTCTGTCACTATAATTTTGTCATTTTAAAAATGCTGCATATAAAAACAAAAAACAAAAAACTGAACCTCTAGGGGTTGGGGAGATGGCTCAGTGGAATAAATGCTTCCCTGGCAAGAGTAAGGGCCTGAGTTCAATTCCCAGTTCTGGAAAAAAAAAAAAAAAAAATGCTGCTGCATATGTATTTGAGATTCAAGTTGCTGGTGCTGCATGCCTCCAAACTGTTTCCTCTTATTGCTGAGCAGTGTTCCCTGGAGTGGACATACCACAGTATGTTTAACCATTCACCCAGTGAATGACCATTGGGCTCTTTCCAGTTTAGGGCCATTATGAGGAAAGATGCTATGAATATTCATGTATTGTATAAACATGGTTTTGTTTCTCTGGGACAGATGCCTAAGAGTAAAGTTATCGGGTCAGATAGTAAGCACATAAAGGTATTTAGCTTTGTGTGGAACTGCCACACCCCTGTTCAGAGAAGTTGTACCATTTTGTATTCCCGCAGGGAAAACCTATTTAGATGAGCGTTAGTGATAAGTACTGCCTTCTCTGAGTGTCTCTAAAGTTCCTTTGATAGTCAGAGCCACTTTGTCTTAAATGACCCAGCACATAGAACCGCAGAAGGATGTTTATGCCTCATCCTTGGGAAGGGCCAACAGTACTCACTCCAAATCCTGCTGGGACTTGGAAGAGGGGAAGAATGTTTGATCTGCCACCTTCTCATTGCATTAGACACTAGAGGCCAGGTTAAGTTACCATAATAACCAGCCTCCAATTCTCAGTGGTTTGAGACTACAAAGACTTATTCTCACTCATGTATCTATGAAGTTGGATGGAGGAGTAAAGAACTTTGCTTGTCTTAAAAGCTCCAGGCTGATGGAAGAGCTTTTGTTTTCAACATTGCTGATCTATGCAAAGGGAATGAGCAAAGGAAAAATGATAGTATTTTACCAGCATGAAGTCTCCTTCCACTCATACTTCAAGCTTCCAAAACATAGAACGTGGCCTCACTGAAGTACTAGAAGAAGGCAGTGCAACCCTGGCATGAATACAAGACATAATGTAAGCAGCATCAGTGTGAACCACACACAGGTTAGGAGAGGAGCAAGAATTCATCCTTGCTGGACCACAGGCCTGACCTGAATTGCTGGGCAAGGCCTTGGAGGTGTTAACACAGAAAATTATTCTCATCACTTCAGAACTGTAGCATGGCTTTACTCCTAGACATCTCGTTCAGCCTTAACCCATCAAGATCTAAGAGTTTTTAAGAAAATTAAATTTATCATTAAAAGTAAAAAAAATACGCCTTAAAATGTTAAAAGTTCATTTTTCTGCAAATGTCATTGTAGAAAAGGAATATTGAAAATGTTCCATGCAATCTGAGCATGGTAGGAGTAGGGTCCAACTTTACATGCTTCTGCTTTGAGCAGAGAGCTTGGACTGTGGCTGTACGCTGTGTGCTTGTTCTGACTTTTCAATCACCACATGCTTTTCTGGATCTGATCTTCCAACTAAGGAGTCTGGGCCCTCCCCATCGTTTTCCTAATAGGATACATAAACATCTCTCTCTAACTAGGCTTTATTCCTATGTGCCAAGCGTCAAGTGTAGTGTTCGCACATGATTGATGCTCAGGGAATCTGGGCTGCTCACTCTGGTGTTAAAGTGTGTGTGGCCTGGGATGGTGACTGATGGAGTCGGCACTTGAGATGGAGAATTGGGCCTGTGTGGTTCCAGGGCTGTGTGCTGGCTGCGCACATAGCCCAGAGTCTTTCATCTTGTTTATGCACGGAGCAACTTCAGCTTTGGGCTTCAGGTGCTGCCCTACTGACTGCCCCCTCTATTGGTGTCCTCCTGTACTTTACTAAGTTTATTTTCTCCTCCTTCTAACAAGTGTGGCCTACCTTTATATTCTGTTTTGACATCATCCACTTCGATCCATAAATGCTGCTTCAATAATACATTTCTTGAATGACTATGTGTACTTTTTTTTTATGCTGACCTTGTTTTCACATAACCCTGCAAGAGAAATAATCATTATATCCAATTTACCACTAAGGAAACCGAGATTCAAAAGGATTAAGTCTGACTGAGTGAAAACATTTTTTTTTTAAGCATACTATAGTACTTCTCTCCCTTCCTTATTTTATTGAGCCTGATGTGCCCCCTCCCAATTCAAGGACATTATCTGAGGTAATGTTGATCCAAATAGAAAATGTGTCAGTTTTATTGGGTCTATGAACACACATTTTTATCAATTTGATGAATAGGCCGCTGGTACTTGTAATGATCCCATCTATTATGTTCTAGTACTGTCTTGACATTCAGTTTAAAAATGTTCACCAAATTTGAGTTGCAAGACTACAGCATCGTTTCCCTTGTGAATTCATGAAACATACTTTCAAAAAAGCACCCTGGTTTCTGCTACATAGTTGAAACCGTAAGCTTTGGGAGCTTTTCCAATTCTTCTCTTCAGGTTGTTTTATCTTTCTGCTTTTTGGCACTTACATATCACGGAGCAGTGAATGCCTCTCAAGGCTTAGGCATTCTACAGACAGTTTACTCTTTCATCACCAAACCTTGGCAGCAGCATTTATAACACATTCCAGTCACTTCAGATTAAAAGCGTTGTGTGCCACAGATATGCTGACATGAAGATGAAGGAGAGCTGTTCGCACTGTTGACTGTTGAGCCATCGCTAGCTAAGGTTTCCAGGAAGGCCTAGCATTGGATGATCACAGAACTCTCATCCTGAGAGCTGAAGAAGAAGCAGTCCCCGGTGATGTGGGATCCACTTACATGCAACAGGAGAAGACTGGTTGTCACCTTTAGCCTTGACATAACATCCGGGGGCTCACCTGGGCTGGTCCAGACTTGGGAAAGCTGCTGGCTGAGGACTGAAAGGACAGGACCTTTTCCACCGTGGGAGTGTGTAGCTCATATTATATTGAACAGGATGACAGAACACTGCATACGACTCAGCTGATGCTCCTGGCCACAGTGGACACCCAGGAATTAAAGGGTTGGAGGGTGGCAGGTTGTTGTGCTGGTAGAGAATATTTGAATCTTTTTTGCCACAGAGACAGAGATTTTTCAAAACCCTAACAAAAACTTGAAAGAACTGCGAAGATGTCCTCAAAGTCCTTTCAGGATAGTAATGCAATACTTATGACGTTCAAAGAAATAAAATTCGTCAGCAGAGATTTGAACTAAAATTACTTGTGCTCATCAGCAGTTTGTGAAGATGTAGAGCACTTGGTTGTGAAAATAGAACAAACATACACATCCGGTTTATCCTTGACTCTCTGGCTAGTCATACTCTGAAAAAGCTGCGCGGTAGCCTGGGAGTGTCAGTCAGGCCCCTGGGAATGGTCATTCGGAGAGCATCCTGACTGTGCAGCCTGCTGGCTCAGTTCATTTAGCCCAGGTCTTTTCCCTTGGACCAGAAGGTGCATCTTCTTACAGTCCAGGTGCACCTCACAGTGTAGAGGGGTCGAGGAGAGAAAGGGCTCAAGGCAGGAGTTTTGGCCTTTTTGGAGCTCTGTTTGCTTTCCAGACCATCAAACAATAGTTGAGGGAGGTTTGATTTGGAGACCCGGCTATAAAACTTCAAAGTATTTGTTTTTTTTTGGTGGTGCTGGGGATTGAACCAGGTCCTCAAGCAAGTAAAATGTATAGTGTTCAGTGTGATTTGTGTAGTGTTGATAGATACTTTTACATTTACCCACCACATTTGGGAAGGCTGATGACCTTCTTGTGACTGCATTGGTTGCACAGAACCTGCTGGATGAGTCCTGGGGACCTAGCAAGAGCTGCTTCTCCCAAGTTGGTTCCAGCCTCTCAGCTGGCCCCTCTTTTTAATGGCCTCATTTCCACCCTGCAGAAAATGCTCACAGAAGGCCCATCATTCTTTTAAGAACAATATTGAAATGACAACTTAAAGCCGATGTGACCATGAGAATTTGTATGACTTTCTTGCAAAGCAGGAGTCTCTTAGGAAACTGAAAAAATAGCTTTGGAGAAAAAGATAGAAAAGGTGGACAACCAAGCAAATTAAGATGATTTTGCTGGGGCTTATTAGTGGGTATGTGAGAAATTGGATGTCATGTTTAAAGCTATACAGAAAAAAATTTTTTTTAAATATTGCAAGTCAGTATAGTAGTGTTCCATAAAAGAAGAATTATAGGATGAGAAAATAAAATGATCCAGACCTCAAGCAAGACTCTCTTTATTTCGAAGGGATCCCTGGCATTCACTTTTCATATCTGGACTCGCTGCCTATTCTCTTGTTGAACAGTTTTGTAATCTGTTACCTTCATGGGTATATTTTTACATGTCATGCAATGTCGCCCTTGTTACAATCCTAAAGGATGCAAATGTTTCTCACAGAGAAACTGGCTCCTAGCTTCCTGTGTCTAGTGCTTGGGTAAATAGCAGGTATTCTGGAACTATTTAATGAGGGGGACCCACTTCCAACAGGCGCAACCTCTTACTAGCATATTCTGCTCTGAACCATTCGGTGGGTTAATCCACTGAAGTGCATAGCACCCCCTGGTCTAATTGCCTTCCAAAGTCCAAGCCTTGGAACACACAAACCTTTGGTGGTACATTTTAGGTCTGAACTATATCATTTCTAAACTCCAGGAGTGGTCTGGCTTTTATGGTTGGGCATATCCTTCCCTTATTTCATGCTTAGCATAACTGATATGACTACATGAAGTCTTTAGGCTGAAAAATGATGACTTCATTGGCCTACCAAGCATCCCTTTCATTATGAGAGCAAGTCTAATAGGAGGGAGGAGCCCATTAGGTATATGTGGGCTTACAGTGTGGCACTTGGCAGAACTTTGGACACAAACCTAAGATTTTAAGACCAAAGCCACTGCACAGAATCTATTAAATGTTTTAACTCAGTGTGGCTCTCTGGTGTCATGGGCCCAACATTCCTGGCTAGGAGGTTGCGGGCCCCATCCAGGCTGGAGGCTGCATATTAACTAGGTTACAGGGGATGGAGAAGAAGTGGGCAGCCATGGAGAATGGCTTTAAAAAAAATGAACCAGGAAGCACCTCCTTGACCTTCTGAGACATGGGTGTCTCATGGTAAGGGCCACATTTGAGAGGCTGATTCAGATGTCTTGATCCTCTGACTTCTTCCTGAGTGCTTGACCACCAATCTGGAGAGCAGGCATTTTCTGTTTGCTTTCTTTCAACTTTCAAGTGTGTAAATATACATCTCTTTGGCTCATTTCTAAGCAGTGAGAAGAGACCATAGGTTATATTGGGAAGTGTCCACCTTGGGGAGACCAAACTGGCTCCTACTTTGTCATGTAGCAGCTGCATCACATGGACAGATACTGCATACTCTTGGGACATGTAGCACCTACTTTTTATAGGGACAGGAGATGGAATTTGAAACCCCACCTTAAGGGAGGTGGGGCCGCACTCACTTTCTATGAATCACTGAACACAACTCTGCTCCAAGACCCAGAGAGTGAATCACCCCAGCAGTAGTGGGAAGTAGGGGCGGGTGCGTTAGTAGGTCACCTGCTATGAAGGTCAGTGGTGTCTTTTGGAGCCTATAACACAGGTCCCTTCTTCACTTGATGTTTTCTAGGGGCCATCAATTTTCTGCGCTCCCTGCTGGAACCAGATCCTGTGAAGAGGCCTAATATTCAGCAAGCCCTGGCGAATCGTTGGCTCAATGAGAATTACACGGGCAAAGTGCCCTGTAATGTCACCTATCCCAACAGGTAATGTGGTGCACCCAGAAGGACTCCTTCCTGGCAAGACTGGGCCCAGCCACCACCCTGAGTAGTTCAGGCCCATTTCATTGTGGGAGAGGACGTGTACGCAGGGCTGTGCAGTGGCGGATACACAGGCCACGAGCCCCATCCCACACCTTGTTTTGAGGGCCACATCTTCAGTAAGGGACACCTCTTTCTAGTTCCCATGAAGAAACTAAGAAACTGTGGCCTCTGTGTGTGTGTGTGTGTGTGTGTGTGTGTATGTGTTGGTCCAGGTCCATGTGTATAAGAATGTGTGTAAGAACATGTGTGTGCTTGTGTATAAGTTGGGAGCTTGTAAAAGAAAGCAGAATGTCTTATCATAGTTTTTGCTTCAGTGATTTTTAAGACAAATTAAAAGTCCTAAACTTTAAATTTGCAAAACATGCCTCTTTCTAATCACCCTTGGGGTCCTCCTGTGTGGCTTCATTGTGACATTTCTTTCAGACCCATGTCTCCTGCTTTAAAGTGTCAGGAACAAGAAGAAAATGAGTTGGGAGTCCCTCAGGCTGGGTTTCCCTGGGACTTGCTGGGGTGGCTTTTCCTCGGCGACCAGGTAGTCGGACACAGGACGGGGCTACAGATGGGAAGGTATACAGTCCAGGACTTTGTTGGGCTGAGTGCAGACTGGAGTTGAAAATGAATCCAGGGAAACACTTCTGTGTGCTTTTCTGTTACTCACTTGGTATTTTGCTAACCAATCTAAGTAAGGGCATGAGGACCCCCACTGTGGCTTCCGTAGAGCAGACAGACGGGTTGGTGTTACCTGCGAGAGCGGGCTCTTGCTTTAGTGATAATGGAAGTTCACCCAGAAGTGTGAATTTGCAGAGGAAACAAAACAAAACAAAACAAAACAAAAAACAAACAACTAAATTAAAAGTAAGAGAAGATAAGGGGAAGTAAGGGAAAAAAGTAAGAAAATAAGATCAAGTCAGCCCCCTAACCAGCAAAGTCAAAGCAAATAAGGCAAATGGTGCATGCTGAGGAGCTGGAGGAGCGCGCTCCAGTGGGGGCTTTTGGTTGGCCCACTCAGCAAAGCAGGAGGCAGTTTTTAAGGATGGGCCAAGGTGAGCGATGGCCAGTGGGTTCTTATTTCAGTTCTGGTTTTGTAGCTTAGATTGAATCCTTGTGACTTGAGGGGCAATTTGATTCTCAATTAGTCCCAGGGAACTAATTCTCATGACCTCAAAGGCAGTCTAAGTCCCATGAGCCTCTGCTGATGCATGGGAACCATAGGCTTTGGGAAGCAGAGATTCTGGGCACAGCTGAATGTCCCTGTAAATGTCTCATTATACTCTTTTCAGTCTTAAAGGCCAATAAGATAGGCAGGGTGAGTTTGGGCTAATAAATCTTGAATAGCCAACTTCTAGACAGACACTCTTGAAACGACTAACATGCTTATACGCAGACCTGAGAAGGAGTTGACCCAGAGTTTTACAAATGAAAGTCAGACTTCGTTGTATTTGTAGTTATCTATTGCACATTAGCATGAAGAGTAAGCTTTTAAAAAGCAGGGGAGATGGCTCAGTAGAATAAACGCTTGCCTGGCATGCTCAAGGCCTGAGTTCAATCCCCACTCCCCAGTTCTGCCAAAAAAAAAAAAAAAAAAAAGAAGAAACTTGAAGAGTAAGCTTTTGGCAAAAGCCACTTTTAAGTTCTCAACTACCTCAACAGAAAACACAAATCATGGTTTTAATAAATAATAGATTAAAGGCCCAGTAGTTTTATCCTTTTTCAAAGTAGTGGTCTCTGTCACAACTGTGTCGCCCGGTGCCCCTGGTGTCTTCCCACCCAGTGAGACAAGGCCTGCCTATCTGTCCAACCTGTATGAGGCTTGCAGAAGCTCTGTCCAAGGGGCAGGTGGGAGACTGGAAGCCCCAGCAAGGGGGCTTCTCTGTGGTCCAACTTCCAGAATCCCTGGGAAGTTCAGGAAACACCCAGGAAACCATCAAAGCCCAGCACCCAATTCTCCAATGAAGATGGGCAGAGGGCTGTGTCTTGGGGCAAAAGTTCTACAATAACTTAAGGGGACACATGATGGACATTCTCAGAACCTGATCCACACTGCTGGACCAAATTTACACTCTCCTCAGGCATGGAGGAGGTGGTTTCGCTTGGTTGCCATCTAGAATTCTAGCATTTGGCTCATGGGCAGCAATTTAGATAAAATCTAGATTACTTCGGTTACCAAGGGAACCTGGAAATAGATTTGCTGTTTTCCAACACCTGCTCAGTTTGGGCCAGTATCTGAAACAGACACCAGAAATATTATCCCTAGTATGAGGCAGAAAGTGGAGCTGAGGGGCCATGCCTCATTACCCGTGGAGAGCTGCACACAGGTATGCTCTCTGTTAAAGGCCATTGGTGGCAACCAAATGAGTCATTAAGCTAATGTAATCACCATGTTAATGAGCATAATCAATCCACTCAACATGGCTCTTGGAGGAGGTAGTGCTAGAAACCCAGTGAGCCCCTCCTTATCACCTCGGCTTCACTGGCAAAGAATCATGATATGGTATCTCATCCTGTAGCCTGTCCAAGGTTGTAGATACTTTGGAGGGTTAATGCTTAAACTTCACCTTTCTATACTGGTTTTGCCACGTGAATGATCTTTGCATTTATTTGCAAAGCCTGTCACTCATTTTATGCTACATGTAGATAGGTATTCAGTGTTTAAGACAAGAAACCAGAATTCTAAACGGTTGGCAAATGTTGCTATTGTCAATAGTATTTTGAAAAACATTTACCTTTAAGGCAAAAATGTACTTTTGATAATTTGAGGGAGGATTTTTACAGCATATAAATAAAAAGAGAAAGAATGCTCAACTAAAAAAAGTATTTTCTTTACACAGCGTGGTTTATTTATTTATTTTAGTATTAGTTTTATTGAGAAAGAAATAGCATTGAGGCAGTTTCAAAACAAGAGAGTTACAATAATTAATACATTGTATATTGTTGTCTTTGTAGTAGTTATTCGTAGTACAAGATACCAGACATGATATCTTGTCTAAACACTATTAGTACAAGTCTTTCTTCTCATTGAACTAAGAGAAAGTGGCTGTATATCTATCCTATTTTATACATACAGATAAATATATATTTTTTTACTACAAAATGGTCCTTCATTTGTATCCCCTCTTTTGTTTACTTTTGTCAGAGATGGGTATTCCTTTGCCATTCAAATATTGTAGGTGCGTGAATTCAGCAAAATAATCCAATGCAGTCCAGTAGTCCATCATAGTAGTGGGTTATCTGCAGGACTGGCAATATCAGAAGTTGTTGACTTGAATCTTTTATAGCTAAGCATATTAATATGGCTTTACTTTTTATGCCTCTTTTTTATACTTTTTATTTTTAATTAGATTTTATTGGTACATTTGAGATATACATAACAGTCACATTCATCATAGAGAAGTTGTACCTGTACATGATACAACTTGGGTCTTTTCCCCATTCCCCTACCCTTCCTTCAACCCCTCCATGCACCCCATTTACAAAAGCTTTGTTCCATGTTTTCCTTCTTTTCTCTCTCTCTCTCTCTCTTTTTTTCCAGGAACTTCTTTTTTTTTTTTCCATAATTTTATTGAGAAACAAATAGCAGTGAGACAGTTTCAAATCAAATTGGTAGGACAGTTTCAATAATTAACACATTGCATACTCTCTTCCTAGTGGTTATTTGTTGTACAAGATGCAGACATGATATCCTGTTTACAAACACTATTACAATAAATCCCTCTATTCATTAAGACAATGTAACTATATATCTATCCTAACCATTTTGAATACACAGATACAAAATGGACATTCATCTGTATCCCCTTTTCTGTTTAGTTCCGATATTTAAATATTATAGGTGTGTGAACTCAGCAAAATATTCCAAAATAGTCCAGTAGTCCATAATAGTATTGGGTCTTCTGCTTGACTGGCAATGTTGGAAGTTGTTGACCCGAGTCCCCTACAGCTCAACATAACAACATGGCTTTACTTCTTATACTTCATTTTTATACTTTTCTGCTGGATGGTTAAGACCAAGATAAAGCAAGACCTATGTAACAAGAATTGTAACTTTTGGATCTGATAAGGTCAATCAAATCCCCTCAGGATTTATGCTGAGACCCTGTACTTCAGTTTGTAGATCCTTTGTCAGTGTCAGCCATGTGGATGAGTCATGGCTATTGCTTGGCCAGTTTGCTTCCTGTGAAAGCCTGAGAAAATGTTTTCTCTTCATGTGACTCTCCTTAGGCACACTCTACATCATTGACCACTTTCCTCTTTGACCCCATAATCTCCTTGATCAGAAAATTTGGGACACAACTTAGTTACATGATGTGACAGTACAAGTTCTCATATGTCCTGAGTCTTAATTGACCTTGGAAGGCTAGGGCCAAAATGTTGGTTTTCCCTGCAGCCCTCCTTTTTCTCTAATTTTTGGTCTGCAAACTTAGGTTGTTAACCCTCCAGAAGAGAAGCTTATTGTTATTACTATAGGAAACATGACAGTGGCAAGCCATACAGTTATATGTACAAGATGAATAAGGCAATGATCCTGAGAATCTTCAGAAGATTTTTGAACCTAGCAGTTAATTGGAAGGATTCTCACCCTGACTAACTATAGATACAGACACTTGTGAACTAAGCAACTGCACTGAAGATGGCAATTTGTAATAGTAGGTTCATGCTTGGAGTGCCTGTCATCCTGGTCTTCTGAATACCTGCAGCTTGTCATGACATGCCGTTTGCTGCCGTGCTGTCTCTCGGGTAGATGA